TCTCTCTCTCTCTCTCTCTAAAGTATCAAGTTGAAGAAATGCCGATACGATTAGATGACTTTTCTTTCAAATAGAATATAGACACCAAGATCAAGAAATATCTATACCTATTATAATCTATGATATATATATATATATATGTGTGTGTGTATCCATGCAAAAAGGATATCTTATCATATAACATATGTCTTACCTACAGATCTATAGCCCATAATAGCTATTTTCCTCTGTTTTGGTGGCATGTTGTAGCATTTACAAACTGAAAAGCAGTAAGTATATTCAATGAAAGCTGATGCATAATCCAGTTAAAACCTGCGAACAGGGAAAGTTTTATAACTATTTGGTCTGGAACATTCTTCGCGCGTTCATTAACATCTCAGAATTGTATGGTGATAATGAATTTGCAAGCTAGACACATCTTATACTAAAGAGTTATATATAAGAGTTATATATATATAAAAAAATACTTTTTTTGCTTTAGGAAAAACTATGAACTGAAAAAAGCAGCCAAGATATTATATAAACAGTTTGGACACATTGTTTAGCTACATTTACACATATTTATGTAACGGTATATACTTTATACTCTCTCTCTCTCTCTCTCTCTCTCTCTCTCTCTCTAACAAGGAAGTAATTTTGATGTTATTGACAATGAGTTACATACATTATATCCTCACCATCCAATCTGATCAATAATAGATCAATAATAGATTGTTGATCATGATTGTCATGAATCAAATCTGATCAATAATAGATTGTTGATCATCATGATTGTTGATCTTATCATGATATAAGACATGATGGATCTCAATCTTATGAGAAACACTTACGTCGCAATGGAACACTTATGTCGAAAAAAAAAATTAAACAGAAAAAGAAAGATAGGATATATACATGCATCTCACATCGATATACAGCATCCTTTAGATTATGAAGCAGTGACGTTTCTCTGAAGAGTCGTGCATAAATCGGCAGACCTTCGTAGTTCGTACTTCGTGAGAGGAAAAATATCGCTCCGAAACTACGCATCGTTTGATGCATGTATTAAGGATGCATACGTAGCGTATATATATATATATGTGTGTGTGTGTGTGGTATGTACATATGTGCGATGTACAAAGTGGAAGAGAAAAAGAAAAATAAAGGAGAGATAAGAAAGGGAAAGAGTGCAAAATGACGTCAATAACTTTTATATACCCAAGCATCATGTATGTTTCACGTTTGATTTGATCTGAAGTCCATCATTTCCGGATGACGCATTCAGCAGTCAGCCACGTTTCGACTTTCGACAGTTCGACGGCCGTTGCTGGCCGTTGCTGATACGGGACGGTTCAGACTAGTATGGACCAGTAGCAGTCAATCAATGCAAGTCAATGTTGCTGTCGGGCAGTATCGAGGCGTTTCCTTCTTCTTCTAATTTAATGGCGCTCACCGACGAAATAACGACGATTCTGACCAAATCGTCGTGGTGTTGTAAATTGTGAATGGAGTGAAGACCCATGGCATAAGAATATAAGGTGATAAAAGGTATTCCATTTCCATGCGCAGGCGTCTTGAATATGGCGACTGCTCTTTGACCAATCAAAACGTTGTCTCAAATTGTAAGAGTGAAATCATACGGTGCGAAATAGGACTGCGGAATAAAGAATGCATTGATTGATTGAAACCATCAATCAGCGCTATTCCGCACTTTTCCATTACGCAAATTTTGTGCTATGTTTACATGGTGCGTCAAAGATGCATCTAGGATGAATATAATTTAAACACTACTAACTTTATGTTAATAATTTACCTATTAAAATGATATATAATATAAAAAAAATTATTACTGTGTGGTATTTAATACTTTATAATTAATATTTACAATACTGGCTGCATTCAGCGGACTCAACAGTTGAGAAAGCGCTCATTGTTATTGGTATATTCTTTTAAATCATCCCTTTAGATCATCCATTTTAGATTCTGGAAGAATACATCAATAGCAGTGAACGCTTTAACTGTTAAGTCTGCTGAACATAGCCATTATCTCATAACAATTTTTTGAACTACTTTAACGCATTTACTATTTATTTAACGCATTTTTCTTCATTATGTGAACAGGGGCGTGATTCCATCTTTACACAATTCCTGTCTTTACAGATATTTTATATGATGAAAAAGCTGCGAAACGATACCGACAACTGTCGGTAGGCGTGTAAAACATTTATGAAATTGTGCCTTAGGGCACACTGAAATCGCACGTAATGCGTCATTAAGGTTTGTTCGCGTCGTATATTCCATAGACATAATAAGAATGGATCAAGCGCGAAGTTTGAAACGTAAAGTTTATTTGTCACTAGTCCATGTGCGCTACACGTAAGACGGGTTAACATCTTGATGGAAAAACAGAAAGCGGAAAAGCAGAAGCTAATCTAGAGATCGATTCTGTATCTTGAAACGAAGTGAAAATTACAAAATGAGCGAACTTACTAGAATACTGATAATTTCATTGGTCACCTAGTAAATTTGCTCACTTTTGTAATTTTCACCTTGTTTGACGATACAGAGGATATGTTCGGGGAGACACTATTCGCGCTATGGACGCAAACGTTATCAACGCTGTTCTTGGAGCTAATAGCGCGATAGCACGTTAGCAAGCTCCATGAATGATCCTAGTGTAGCGTTGGTTATTAAACGTTTAACCAGAAAGATAAATTCGTCGAGGTTAAGTTAATGTAGGGAATTCTGTTTTCAATCACCACTCGAACTTTTCTCTATAATTCAAATTTTTAAGGTTTTGTAAAGTATTTCTAACGTAAATTTTTATTTTCTCATAATGAATAACAAAATGCAATCTCAATTACAATCTCTATGATAGCTTGCCGCTAGGCTGAAGTGAACAATGTAAACTAGATCAAAAAATTAATAAAAAGTTATATTAATAGTAACCTAAGTAAATTAATCGGATAAAAGGAAGAACCCTTAAACATCCATTGTCAATTTCAGAAGAAGCATATCTACATCTAATAAGAACCTTAAGCATCTGTGGCGGAATACCCTGTCGCGCTATCGCAATAGTAACTTTTTTCCGTACACGGGAACTAAAAATTGCCAGTAATAAAATACCTCTGACTTTCACGTTTACAATGAAATCAAATACACACAAGTTGAAACTTCGCAGAAACTTTGAAAAGTTAAAGATGATACACAAGCAAGAATTATGTTCACTCCAGCCTAATGGCTGGAACCATTAGCAGAGATTAAAATTGAGATTGCATTCATTATGATAAAATTTAAAATTCACACATTACGTACGTATGTTTACTCTATGAAATTTTAAGAAAGAAAAGTTTGGTGTCACTCGAGAATAGAATCCCCTCAAACATTAATCTAATTTTGACGAATGTTAAACTACCAACCCATCTTACGCTAGGGTTGTTCACAGATTTGTAAACGCTAACACTATTAATTCCTCGGAAGGAATAGCATTGATAGCTTCCCTAGTTGTGACGTAATACGTTATCATTAGTGACATCATGATCGTGTTTGTTAGCGCTATCTATAGTTCCGCGAATAGTTTGTAGCGCTAAATAGTGCGAATAGCATCTCTCCGAACGCATCCAGAATTGACCTCCAAACTCGCGGCCTTAGGCCGCGAATTCACACCTTGAAGGAAAAGCGGAAGCCAATCGGAACTCGCAGTAGTAGTAGGCGGCATTTCGTTTGTCTGCTTCTGTCTTTCCGCGAGTTCTGATTGGCTTCCGCTTTTCCACTTTCTGGTTTTTCGTTAAGGAGTGAACCCGGCCTAATAAAGGAGAAAAGAAGCAAGTGGCACAATTTGCGCGGTTCTTATTTAGTTATTTAGTTATTTAGTAATTAAGCGGGAAGCAATTAAGCACAGACTTTTGCATAATGCATAATACATAAGGTATAAGAAAATGAATTAATCAAAAGTCCTTTATTTTCTTCCTTCTTGTAAAATAAAGAATTCTGGTTGATTTTCTTATGCTTCATATTTTATACGTTATGCAAAAGTTTGTGCTCCTCGCTTTAGTTTCTGTACCGCGTGCCGCGCTACATGTAATCGCACCCGTACATCATAATCTATATTTCTGACACCGTGGTCTGTGTATGGTGTTGATTGTATGCTATGTGTCTGTGCTTATTTAGTGAATTAACTCCTGCTGTTCGTGTAAAATTAAGGAATTGTAACCGTATCGAACCTAGACTTGGGAATCAGGTGCTATATTAACAAAAAAAAAAAGAGGAAGTGCCAGTCATTTATATTCGAACAACGATGTTGTGGGATGATGTTATTTATGTACTATTGCTATTACTTTCCATAGCATTCGGGCCGTTTTATTATAAAATAGGAGGACTTCGTACAAAACAATGGGTCGCGACCCTTTTCGGCTTCGCATTAGTCGTCTGTGTTTCAGGACTGTCGGTCTTGCATCCAATCGTTACCGTTCTCATCAACGCAATTATCATAACCAACTTATCATGGAAGTACGGATATATACATATATTTTTTTTTAAAGTAAATCTTTTTTTATAAAATTGACTTGCATTTAGAGTATTGCTCACTGATCTGCTAAAATTTTACGTAAGTATGTATTTTAAAATGCAAAATTTGTGTCTAATAATTTTTTTAAAAATTTAAACTATATGTGTTGTTAATTTGAAATTTTTTTCATGAAATTTTTGTATATTTTCAGTGCTTCCCAATATCTGATATACATATGTAGATAATCAGACGTGCCGAAATTACCTACTGTAAATTTATTACTTAAATTTACTACATATGTTGGCAAAAATCAGGCAGTAATTGAGCAATTTGTCATTTCAATTAGCGTTAACAAAAATACAACAAAAATTTTACAGAAACTGCATCATAACATAGTAAATAATATATTATAAAAATTAAGCAAAATAATTCGGCATAAATAGAACAAGATTCAAACATTATATGCTGGCACATATAACATATAAAAAAATAAATCAAAGCAAATTTAACATGTCATGTTAAGTTAGAAAAATATATTTAGAAATCTGGTATATTGCTATCAAATGTGAGAACGATAAAGCAGGAATGTACTGATTTATCAAATCAAGTACTGACAGCAAAAACAGTAAAAATCAAGTATAGCCTGCTATCATAAAGTAACTGTCCAAAATACATATATATGTTGTGTATCAGCTGTTAAAAATGTAGCAGAAATCATTCATACAGCACAGAATTTGCAGCAATATCGCTGCAACATCTGCAATATTGCTGCAACATGCAATGTTGCTGTAATGGTACAGTAGTGTTGCTAGCAAAAATATATATCAAAATATTATATATATAAATATATCAAAAATTCAAGAAATAATATATTAATATACAAAAAATTATTAGTATTTTCAGATTAGGAAAGTAAATATACCTAGCCAAGTCTGCCAAGATCATGTATTATAATTTGTGTGTTACGTACTATGTTGACAGAACTCTGACAGTACTGACAATAATCTGCTGTCCCAGTGTCGGTAAAAATACAGCAGGAAACAAGTAGTTCCAAAAAAAGTATCAAGATAAATTATTACAAATCTTATAAATATTAATTAGAATTAGCATAAATTAGTAGATTCTGAATATTACATACTGACACAATGTGTCATCAAACACTAAACCAAAATTGAGCATAACGTGATATCATTTATATATTGGCAAATGCCCCATAGATATCCCATCGATGTTGTTTTCCTTGTTAAGGAGTACTCGAACTCTGCACTATGGCTTCTGCGATTCCCAACAGATTTCGGTGCTTTGCCGAGTTTCTTTCTACAATCCTACTTAGTAGCCGTTCTGTGCATTTAGGCACTCCTTAAAGCGAGTCGATTTCGGTATGTTATTTTGAGAAATCAACTACGTAATTATGACTCTCCTTTCTGAGTTTAAAATTTATTATACAACTAATTTAATAAATATATTCATAAGCAATAAAAACTTTTAAAAGCAGCAAAAATTTTTACTAGTAAACACATACATTTTCATACTTGTTTAGTAAGTATTCACAAGCAAAAATATATTAATAAAACTTATATATATAAAAATTCATCTTACTAAATAAATAAATCTATAATATACTAAAAATAATGAAAACTTAAAAGATTAGACAGATCCCTCAGTAAGATAGAATGTATTGTAACACAAGCAAAGCTATAACATATATATGTTGCCAATAATAAATATTTAGTAATTATTCGAATTGACAGACGTCGCACCAATGACTCTGACATGTTGTAAAGATCAGGACGCTAAGTAGCTTTCAAAAAGTTTTAGATGGTGATCACTTTTTGTGTGTGTGTGTGTGTGCTGTGTGTGTATGTGTGTGTATGTGTATGTATATATGTGTATGTATGTGTGTGTATGTGTATGTATGTGTGTGTATGTGTGTGGTCAAAAATTAACAAATAAAATTTAAAAAATAATATTTTATTTATTTTATTTCTATATATTGACGGGCGCACAACTTTCCACGCGAAAGAAGGTTCATCCCATTTCTCCGCAAGGGCATATGATTTTTTATGTAAAGCAATTTCCACCCTATCTACCTACTTACCTCTCTCTCTCTTTCTCTCTCTCTCTCTCTCTCTCTCTCTCTATTTCGGAGAGCAAGGTCCACCTCGCCTCCTCTCCCAAATAATATGCATGTGTATAAGACCTAAGATCTAAAAAACATCTTTAGCAACAAATGTTATCTGGGTTCCTGTTAGAAAGCCGGTGAGGTAGGCCTCGCTTCGTGAAAGTCTTAACATCTCTAAGCAGGCGACATTTGGAATGATTCTCGTTTCATGTGAGAAGTTGTGCGTAGGCAGGAAGAATATATGATAGTTTTTAATATTGTATATATTATGTGATAGAAATAAGATATTATTTTTTAAACTTTATTTATTAATAACTTTTAAACGAACAATATAAGTGACCGCTGCGTAAAATCTTTTGAAGGTCACTTATGTA